GAGGTGGGGGTCGGTCTCTTCTCCCAAGGAACAAGCGATAGGGCAAGAGGAAATGGCCTCAAGTTGTGCCAGGGGAGGTTTAGATTGGACGTGAGGAAAAATGTCTTTACTGAAAGAGTGGTTAAACATTGGACCAGGCTGCCCAGGGAAGTGGTTGAGTCCCCATCCCTGGAAGTATTTAAAAGACGTGTAGATGAGGCACTTAGGGACATGGTTTAGTGGGCATGGTGGGGTTGGGTTGACGGTTGGACTCGATGATCTTAGAGGTCTTTTCCGACCTTAATGATTCTATGATTCCTTTAAAGCTTTTAGTGTACACCTACTGATAACCATGGTGTCAGCATCACTTCAGCTCTGTGCATTCCCTCTTACATGGGAACAGCGAAGCGAGGACAATGAAGCCAATTGCTGACTCCAAGGCAAGCCAGCAAGGAGGAGAAGTAAATCTGAGAATTAAAGGCAAAAAGGTTAGGAGGCTTTTGTTTTTTCTGCATGAATGGGATTACAGGGTCAGAGATTCTTAAATCTCTGAAGGACAGGGTGGAGGCAAAATGGGACAAATGAAATAACACTTGTTTTTGTAGAGCCTGACGAAGGACCTGAAGAGTAATGGCAATCCTCCCCTCAGCTACAGCAGCTTACAGCTGCTACAGAAGCTATAGCACTTACAGAAGCCAGACTGAGCATGTGTAAACAAGAGTCAAACTAATTATCAAAGTGAAGTAGCTGGAAAGAGCGCGGTGCTGTAACACCCTCACCTGTTCTGCAAGAAACATAATGCCTGCGTTAGTCATTAAATGGTCGTCAGGTGGAATGCTTCCTCCACAAGAAGTTCCCATCATTAGAAAGGTGAGGCATAGGAGGAGGGAAAGGCCTCATTTAACCCGAAGGGAATGTTTATTCGTCAATTAATGAGGCAGGGTGGGTCCACGGTAAGTTATTAGGAGCGCACTCATTCTCGCTCATGTCTGCACAAACTTCTCCCAATGACCAGCATTGCTGGTTGTGCAACAGCCGGAGTCAAGACCTGCACAGCAGCAGAAACGAGGACCCTACCATCTTAAATTCTTGGCACGCGCTTGTTAAAGCTCCTCCCTCAGAACACCATCGCTCTTTTCTTGCCCTTTCAAAGCTGCACGGATGTAGAGAGAGGCAGAACCACGGCTGCAGACAGACCAGCTGGCTTCCCAACGTGAGAAAGGGCTAAGAGATGGAGATGTGGCAGAGGAATATTTGAAACCCAGCACTTTTTGGACGGCTGCCACCTACGAGCACAGCCCACGTGCCTGCCCGGTGGCTCACTGAAGGTTAAAGGGGAACCAAGCTGTATCTGCCTGCGAGCGGCTCTCTGCCGCACAGAGCAACTGGAATAATCAGCAGAAAGTTAAACGTACATACAAACGTTTGAGAGTCACTGCGCAAGCTGGGGACCGGGGGTGTTCTGGATCTTTCTCTGTGCCTCAAAATCACGCACACCGCTTCTGCGGCTGAAGAAAAGGCTTCAGCACTAACCGGCATCCTTCATCACTGCTCTCGCGTGCTCTAAACAAAGACGACAAACCAAGGATACATCTGCATAGGATTTTATTAAAGTAGGCATCATCCACAACTTACAATATTTGAAAAAATATTCTTAACTTTTTTTTTTTTCCTGAATAGGTCATTTTTAACAGCTACAATGCTCAAATGTCATGAGAGAAGTCTCTGCCCAGAAGTCAAACTTCAAACTGGTAGCAAAAGTTATACATTTGGTACCACATCAAATTGGTTTAATACAGAAAAATACTGTAACATAGTTACAACAGAAGTTAACGGGGAAGATAGGGAAAAAGATACATGCATCATTGGTCACAGGTTGAAAACCAGAATTTCAAACAGGACTCGGACCATGTACACATCTCTAATCGCATTCCCTGACCATCACCACCTTGTTACCTCCAAACGACTCTCCTTCGCAATATGGTTTATTTCAGATTTTGCAAAACAGAAGTTTCTTAAATGGCTGCTCCTAAATGGTCAGCAACTCTTTTGGCAAGGGGAAAAAAAAAAACAAACGACA